CCCATGAATGAATGCCATCCAAAGCATAGATAAAGACATATTTTAGCCCCTCTCTCAAAGTACTAGAATTCGGGGTTGTACATTGAAACTGATTGGCTATCAATTTAGGACAGATAAAATGACAGATAAAATACCTATATTGCCCAATAGCTAAAACTGTTTGGATGGTTCAGGACAATAAAAACCCTAAAATGCAACACAACAAAATATAATATTGCTCCGCTTGGAGAATCTTCGGACTAGTATAGCAGAATATAAGTTGAATGAATGAATGAAACAGAAGCTTAAATCTACACTATAAAATAAAAACACAAACCAAAATAAAACATAGCCATGAAGGATTGAGTGAACAACAGGAATTAATCACGATTGCTTTGACAGTTCAGTAAAGGCCATGGGATGTTCAGAGTCAGAGCCACAAGCCAATTGGGGAAGCCAGTTTGCTCAGATGCTTTTGGAGCAGTCGCCCAGTTTGTTGGCTGCAAACGCCCCCCCCCCCTTTTCCGCTGCCTCTTCGACTTGGCAACCAATGTGGGATTCCCAGCCGTGTGTTCTGAGAATCTGGGAAACATAACATTTTGTCATGTTGCAGGCACCAGAGTAAATCACTGCTCTGATTATGTCCCAGTTTCACCTCTGAAAAAAATGTTTTAAATGTTTGAAAATAGTGTTCTGGCTCATTATCAAGGCATGCAGTTATGGAAGATGAATAATTTTGAAAATGCTTGAGTCACAGTAACATGATGCTGGTAATAACAATGATTTTTTTCCCTGGGGTACCACTAATCCAAATAAAGCAGGCTACGATACTGTTTCTTCCTTACTTTTTGAATTTACTATATTCTGTTGGGTTCAGCTTCCTCCCTTCAATTTTTGTGAACCATTCAAAGAGCTTTGGCTATTGGGTGGTACCAACATGAAATCAATGAGTTTGGAGCTGCAACTTTCTGCCATGAATGCAACTGTGTGAGCAAGTTGTACCTTCTTAAACGTTCCCAACACCCCACAGTCACCTGCCAAATGGCAAAATATGCTGATTTCATTTGTTTGGCAAAAGCCTGTCCTCACTATAAAAGCCACGAAGACGTCTGCTCTGTTTGAGAAGTACTGTCTTATGGTGTGTTATCAGTGGGTACCACAGAAGCTCCGACGCAGGTGTAATGGCAGGACACACACAGGATGGCTCCTTATAGTGCACATACGCGTATTCAGGTGCAGAAGCACTAGGTCCATCCAGCAGAGCCCCACTCAGAGTGCATTTGCTCTTTTGGTTAAAGACGATTGGAGAACATGTGAAAGAGCAGGCTGTGCACCACATGGCATTCGTGTGTAAGCCCCTGCATGCCTCGCACATGCTGAAGACTAGCTGCATCGTCCGTTAATGCAGAAATTAAATGCAGAGACTCTCCATGGAGAGAGCTGAACCCTGAAGATTGACAATACCAGCAGAGGACACATGTATCAGTTTAACAAGGTATCCTATAAAGCCTGACACAAGGACCTGCCATCAGAAAATACTGATTATCCTTGGGAAAGAAAGACCTTATGTTTAGCCAGCATGCTTCCAGACAAGGGTGTTATCGCTCAATTGCTTTGCCTAGTTCGTGGAATTTTACCTGGCATGGGGACAAGCAGGGACAGAATAATTTAGCTTCCATTTGTAATCCTCCCATGTCTTCCCACTTCTTTCAACCTTATTCCTTTCCATAAAGGAAGGGAAAGATGGGGATCGATGTACACCAGCTTCTGACTTGGGATGCTAGGAGTCTTCCATCGGGAAGCCCCCCTAATTCTGGAATCACCTTTGTCAGCTCAGCCACAAAATCTGTTAGGCGATGCAGCTCCAGGATTCAATGCTGTTTCACCCTGTTTCCCATTCATATCACAAAGATATCCTGAACTAGCATTATAGAAAGCCAGGGTGTTTTATTTATTAATTTTCATGTGCCCAGATGTTCCTAGCAAAGGTTTCTTCTGAGATTTATGTGTGCGTGCATACAAGTTTTTAAAGAAAGAACTAACAGGATCCTCTGACTGTAGATATCAGCTTGGTAATCTTTAGAACAACTTTGCAAGCAGATCAACAGGATTCTGATACTGCAGGTGAAGGCTGAGTAACTGCAGCTTGCTTTAGGCTGAAACCACATTTGCACTGAAACAACGTTTGAACTTGGGGCTTCACAGTCTTTTAGTTCCCAAGTTGTTAGTCTTGGAACTGACACGAAATACAATCAAGGTTCATTTTCTATTTTATGCTTTCCATCTACAATGTAATACAGCCATATGCTTCCATTGTTCAAAGAAGGCTTTTCCAGATAATTCTCACATACAGCATCCCAGCGGTACTTACCAGTTTCCATGGTCCCAGGTGACAAAGTACTCTTCTTTATTCAGCAGGATAATCAGTCTTCATGAATTTTCCATTTGAGACTGACAAACCTGCATAGGTCAAGCTCAATTTTGAGCCAGATGGAAATGTAGTTTTCCGCAATTTTAGGGGATTACTCCAAAATGACTCACCAGGGATTTGGATACATGCAAATCCTTTGATGTCTGTTTAGATGTAATTTGCATGGCCAGCGAGGAGCTTGCTGAAAGGGTTCTTTCAGTGGACCGAAAAGATACTTTGGAGGGGGCGATAAATAAATGGAGTGTTTATATATAAAATAAAAATTCATGCTATGTAATACTTTTAACTTCAAATTTCTCAAGTCTTTTAAGGTTACTCAGACGTGTTTGCCTGGGTTATCATAACAAAGCTTGTTGTAAACTGTCCCAAGACACCAGTAATGGGACGGTGTATAAACGCTTTAAATAAATAAAATAAAATAAAATAAATAAAAAGTGTTCGTAACCCAAAGGAAAGACCCTTTTAGCATTTTAGCATTGAATAACATCTTACAGTGCAACCCATGTATGTTTACTCAGATGGAGATGCTGAGTAAACATTTGAAGGGTCCTTCTCCTTGGTAAATGAACACCCTTCCAGCACAGCCTTATAAATGTCTACTCAGAAGTCCCATTGAGTTTCATGGGAGTAACTCCAAATAAAAATGGAACAAGGTTGCAGCTCTTCACACTTTGCCAACCAACTTTGCAGGACTAGTTAAAATATCATTCTAAAAAGTCCAGATAAATCTGAAGCCCAGTAACCCGTCCAATTTCTTGAAGCATCCCAATCAAACCAACAAGTAAAAGATACAGAATCACTTTTTCTGTATTTGTAACAATAAGAGCAGAATTTAATTTTCTGCATATTTTCAAATAATTAAGGGTCTTAGGTTTGTTTGTGTGAGCTAATTGTTGCTAAATAAGAGGGCTGTATCTGGATTTAGTCATGCCTACAACAGGCTAATTGAGTTCAGTGGGACTTCAGTTAGTTATGACTAACCTGCTCCATTGATTTCAATGGGAATGCTCTAAGCATAACTAAGCTGGCATTCAACCCACCCTCTTCAACATAAATGATCAACTTGACGCATAGTCCAATGGTTTGTGTTTATTCTTTTTCTTTCATAGTGAACTGCAGCTGCAAAAGGCTGGGATGGTACAAAGAACATGCTGTTTATACAAGTCCTGGTGTCATTTCCCTTTTCTGGCGTAGGACTCAATTACAGGGCAGTACATGACATACCATGTTGCAGAACAAAGCAAGATTTGTATACACTGTCAAATTTCAGTGAACACAATGTGAAAGCAAATTCTACTCCCAAGGGAATCCCTCAAATCCCTGGAACCAGCTAGAATTAGGAGTTTAGTCGCTTCTTGATCAGGTTGGAGCTCTTTGCAAGCAGTGAAAAAAATTCAGTTTCCCTAGAGATCAGTAACAATATCTGAGTTTAACAAAGCATCCTAAGGAAGACTATCAACTTGTTCAATCATCTTAAGCCATTGTTAACTTAGCAGTCTTGGAATCATGGGTGTGATAAATAGGGAAATGATGCTTTCAATCCTCCTTCAATGATACTGTTTTCATTTTCTGTGTGACAACAAATCTGAGAGATGGTTCACAGCAAAACCAATAAGTGTGTGGCCAGGGGCTTAGGATAACCCTGCCCTGTAGATGCCCAGGGTAACTCAACTCTAGAATAAACTCCACCAATTCCTGCTGCCACCACTAGATGCTGATTGGTGTTTGATGCAAATATTTAGAAGTCTGTGCTGTGCATAGCAGGTCCACTTGGATATTATGCCTATGCATTACTTCCTCTGTTGTTGGTTGCTCAGCATTACAGTCTCTTGATTGCAGATGCATTCCAGAAGTTTTTATTCATAGATTGTCTTGGCCTTAAGAAGATTTTTTTCAAAAGCCCTGCTGGATCAGATTAATGTTCTATCTAGCACTTTGCTGTGCACAATGACCAGTGAGATGCTGAAGACATCTAAAGTACTTTTCAAACAAAGTAGTGTACAATGTCTAAGTAAAACATAATATAGAAAACAATTAATTCGTTAAAAATGCACATCTTAAAATAAGCAGCTAAACTGAACATCACAGTTCAGTCTAGGGGAGCAATGAATAAAACATCGATTGAAATTTAATCTCGTGGCTGTGAATCCCATAGATTAAGTACAAGTTCTATTAAAAATTTCCTCCTTCTGTCTATTCAAAATCTCCCACTAGACAGTGCTGGGATCTGGGGGGGGGGGTTCCTCTCTCCTATTTATAGTCTTTTCCTAATTATATTTGCTTTCGCTCATCATCATCATCATCATCATCATCATCATCATCATCATCATCATCATCATCCCTACTAAGAACTTCAATACACCGCGGAATCATTCGATGAGGAAGACGTGTTCCCAGCCGGACCAAATACCGCGACACTCTCTTCATGTTTTGATAGCCTAACTAGCCCGCCTCTCCTGCGACGCGGTTGGCTGTCCAGACGGTCCCTAGCGCTATAGTTGGCTGAGGGATGCCATTCATCCGGTTTACCAGGTCGGGGAAGTTACCTTCGTGCTGGAAGTGGGGGGGGGGGGGGGAAAGCTGGCGGTAACTATGGAAACGGGGCCTAGTGTCAGCCCCCGAGCCACGGTTCGAGGCCCGAAAGCTTTCTTTATTCTTGGCGCTGCCGCCGCTGAGCTCCCAGGTGGGAGGAAGCGGGGGCCGCCTTGCTAGCTCCTGCTTCATCCTACTCGAAGCCCCGGGTGGGGGCGCGTCGCTAGGCACGGGCAAGCAGAAGGGGGCAGTGAGGAGGACAGGCTTCATATATGGCAGGGCCGCCTTGGCCTTCAGGGGCACTTTGAACTGAGAAAGGTAAGGGGCTATGCCGCGGAACACCCCTTTTTCGTCCTTCTACTGAAATGTAGGCCTATGCTTTTATTTGTAGCCCTTCCTATCCTTTGGTCTCAAGGCAGGCTGCAGCAGCTTCATCATCATCCATGGATTAGATTAAATGGCTTGCAATTTAAGTACTTTCTGGTTTGGTTTCCCTTCACCGTCAAGGGAAGTGAATACGTGGAGTTGAAACCAGGTTGATTGTGCCAGAGTTGAACCATGAAACGGGGGGCCTCGTGGACTCACTTGCTAGCTGAAGACTGGGGGATTATTACAGTAACTAACTTAACTAAGTTTGCTGGGGTTAATGAGATAACTAATCTGAAACGCTCTGCTCTTGAGCACATGGTGTCAGGTATTATTTATGATTGTATTTAAACTTGTTGTCAGTGCTTATGTATGACCTGCTTTGTGAGGCTCATCCGAAAAAGGGCACCTAAGTACCTTAAATAAAGGAATAGATTGTCTTGATTTTTCTGTAACGTCTCATTTTACACTGGGTCATGACTCATGCAATCCTATGCATGACTTTTCAGAAGTAACCCCTATTGAGTTCAGTGGGACTTTCTATGTGTAGACATAATATAAAAAATGCATTAAGTATGGATTCCTGTTTTGCCTAGTGCTTGGATTTCACTACTAAGCTTTTCCGTTTTAAAGCAAACAAAAAATTAGTAGCTGTTTGAACTAGAATGGCAAATATTAATTTAAAAAAGAAATATTAAATTTGAAATTATGATTCTATGCAGAGGTCACAACTTCAAAAGGACTGCAAGGAATGTTTCTTGCAATCCTTTATAAATTAAAAATTTAAGCAGGGCCAGAAATGGGCCCTACACCCCAGACCATAAATTTACATGCAGCTCTGGGAATCACATCTCAAATGCATGGGAAGTTGGGAATGAGGGAATACAGGAAAGGTAAAGTTTTCCAAGTGCTTTTCTAAAACCAGGTTACTAAGAGCCTTGCCATAAAATCCCAAGGAATAATGCTGGTTGGGAAGCATGGAGGAAAGGGGGAATCATCACTTTATCCTGCTGGGCCTTTTGTTTTAATCTCCGTTGAGTTAATTTTTATTGTGATATAGGCTAACAGGAAGGCTTCCATTCTTTTTCTGGGAATGTCAGTGGGATTGTTTCTGTTCTGTCTTCTTCCTCCAGCACTCTTACCATGCCTCCTGGGAAGGTAGGCAGTAAGGAAACCTTGGTTCTGCAGTGTGAATGGGAGATGTGCAGCTTTGTGGCCTCGAAGATGGAGGAGTTCTGCGAACATGTGTCGAAGCACCTGCAGCAGCATCTCCGCAGCAAAGATGAAGATGATGAAGTGGATTCTCTTGGTAAGCGGCAGAGGGTGCAGTTAAAAAAAATATGCAAGCAGTCCTGAAGTGGCTTTTAATATAAGTTACTGCATTACTCTCTGAAAATCAATTTTTGTGCACACATTCCAGATTTTCTACCCCTTTCTTCCCAAAATGATTGCACTGAGTTTCTTGATTGGATTAATAGAAAATAATTCATTAGAACCAATGGGGAACCTGAGTTGCCTCAGTGTTTCCCAAACTGGAAAACAGGCTGTCTAGTTTGATGTTGGGCAAAGCTGTATGGAGTGCAGCGGTTTTGCTTCTGTTAGGGCAATAGCCCTATAAGCAATTGGGATTTGTCAAAGTGTGGCTGTGATCAAATAGGACTACAAAGGATGAATTTAAGGGATTTCAATGTTATGGTCCACTTACCTTGGTGATGAATTTAATTAGCCTCTGAGGAATATAAGTTCCTGGCATGGCAGAACTTAAACAGTACAGGAGTTAGGACAATTTACCAAGTATGGCTTTTTGATGAGTAGTGAACAAGCTCAGATTAGCTCAGAAAAGGGGGCACAACTGATAGTTTGAGAAGCATGGAATTACACCTTTTTTAAATGAAAGCATTTAAACAGTCTTAAGTGGGAGGAATCTATGCTTTACAGAAGACAGACAAATTTTTGTGTCTGTGTGTTCCATTCCCAGCGACGGAAGAGAGTATCTGTTCAAAGTTCTTTTAGTTCGTGCATCCATGCCTCAGCTCTGCCAACTTCCATCTACTTGTCCCAAGTAGGAATTTCTCTGTTTTTGCCTTTCAGAAGAATATACCTGCCTCTGGCAGGAGTGTGGGTTCTGTTCTCCTGAGAGCCCTGCTGAGCTGGTCCGCCACGTTTACTTCCACTGCTACCATACCAAGCTGAAGCAGTGGGGGCTGCATGCCTTACAGAGCCAGTCAGACTTGACCCCCTGTCAGCTGGACTTCCAGAGCCGGAACATCATCCCTGAGATCCAGGAGAATTTCCTCTGCCTCTGGGAGTACTGTGAGGTGAGAGATGCAGAATCGGGATGAGAGGTACATCTGAACTGTCAGCTGAGTGTCATGCTTATTAGAACCCCCAAGAGGAGGACAGCCAGAGTCTAAGATGCAGCAAGTAGAGATGTGTGCAGAAAACCTGATCTCTTGTGTCCTTCCCAGAAATTCACCACAGTGGCCATAACAGCAGTGCTTATGGCGACTGTGCGTGTTTCCCTGCGAACTTGGTTGAAGGGAGACTGGTGACACTACACCATTCATTTCCCTGCAAGAGCCCTCCACTGGAGTGGGGTGGGAGGCAGGGAAAAGCTGGAATAGAGAGTGGTGCCAGATTTCTTTTACCAAAAAATGCCTGAGCCCATGGTGAGCAGGAGACATGGCTCCAGTGTAGGAGGCACTTACGGTCACACAAACTCTCTCTATTGCACTGAAGATAACTTTTTATGAATATGGACAAAAGTTCAGCATGTGCATGCAAGTCTCCATTCATTCATTCATTCATTCATTTTGAAGAGCTGCTGATTCGGGGCATGAGAGCCCTCTTGCAGCCCAAGCAGTCTCCATGGTTTATAGATTGAAGAAAGGGCCACAGTGTGAGAGAGAATATTACTATCTCTTGTCCTCTGAACTTTGGAAACCTTTTCCACATGGATCTCAGTGCTGATTAAGGCTAGAAAATCAGCATACAGTACTTCTAGATTCCCTCCTGCTCATCTTGTAGGAGCTGCTACCCCCTGCCCCCAACCGATTCAAGAGACTCCTTAGTAAATTCCTTTTTTTTTTTTAATGAAAATGAGATTTTTATTGTAGTAGAAGCATTTGATTGATAGCCTGCTTTATTACAGAAGTGCTTCTGACGTCTTAAAGATAGCTTGTCTTGCTTGCTGTTTTGCTGCCCCATTAACAGTGCACTAGGAAAACATTCTAATTCCTCTGACTTCCTTTTAGCGTACCTTTGATAACCCTGAGTGGTTCTACAGGCATGTGGAAGATCACAGCTTCTGCACAGAGTACAAGTCTGTCGGAAAGGAGAATCACATGGTCTTCTGTGGGTGGAAGGGTAAGAGTTAAGCTTGTATTAACCTTTGAAGCTGGTGGGGTGGGGAAGGTTTGGTGTGCACTTTAGCAGGCCAAAGTTTCCCTGTTTGCCGCATCTTTAATTCTGAAAAAAAAAAACCCATTTTCTAGAATTTTAAATAAAGTTCTCATACTTGTATCAAATCGTACATGATAATATCCTGATACCTGCATATAACATCACATTGTTCAAACTTTACAAATATTAAATGCCTGTTCAGGTACCAATCTGTAACTAATACTTTAATAATTCAAAAATGTTGACCAACTTTTCTCTAGACAACATTAAATGAGTGTGGTTTTTCCTGTGGGGGCAGGAGAAATGACATTTGGACAGGAAACAGCATCATTTACATTGCTGTCTGAGCAAAACGCCCCTCTCTCTTTTGGTTCATATGAAGGGGGTGGGATAGGCTCGCCTTGACATATTCATGCAGGTAGAGATAGAACCCCAAATCCCCATGCTTGAAAAACACATTTGAGAAGCGTATTGAGGTGGGTTTTGAGAGTCCCTGCGTGAATCAAGTCATTTTCTCAGACTGGTATGCGAACCGTGCAAGTCACTCCCTGCTCTTGTACATGTTTGGGATAAGTCAGGACCCAGAGCGGTGTCTGTTTGGCTCTAGATTGTGACTGTACCTTCAAAGGCCGGTGTAAATTGCGAGAACACCTGCGCAGCCACACGCAAGAGAAGGTGGTGGCTTGTCCAACCTGTGGTGGGATGTTTTCCAACAACACCAAGTTCTTTGATCACATTCGCCGGCAGACTGCTTTAGAACGTAAGTACCTGAGGAACCGATATGTAGTGCCAGAAGAGCCACCAGTGTCTGTGGGCGGAGGCTGTGGGATTATAGTGGGAAAAGTTCTTCTTTCTGATCTTTTCCAAAGCATGTGGCAAGGTCTGCTTTTGCTTGGCTTTTCTGAGCTTACATTTCCATCTGCTAGGACTGTCAACTTATTTTTTGTTCTTAAATGTGCATTTCCTGTACATAGGTGGCAATATCATTAATATCAGTGTTGCCATGTTGAGTTGACATTGTTTTCACTCTGAACAAGGTACCCCCATTTCTTTTTCTCATCCCTCTCTCCTGCTTCTTCCTGAGAGCCTGGACTGTTTCTTTCTGGCAGGCGTATTGGCAGTTGGTAGTGATGCAGAATGGCCATTAAAGCCTCATCTGTTCACTGGAGCGTAAAGTACATGTCCAAATTACCCCAGTGGAAAGAGTTTGCTATCTTGATTCCATTCAGACAAAAATTTGCTGTTGAATTTGCAGAAGAGCTCAGCCATATTCGCAAGTTAATAGTGGCATAATAGGAATCAAAGCGGCTTGTTGTGTTCTTCGTGAAAACACCTGAGTAGAGCGGGATCTCATTTTGTCAGAAGCCGTACAGAAGGTTTGGCAGTCTCCCAAACAGCAGTTCCCTGATGCCCGGGTTTTGCAATAATAAGCTCCAGAAATGGTCTGATACCCAGGAAGAAGTACAAGTTGCCCGAACCAGCTGCGGTCCCAGACTGCTGGGTCTCTTCCTACTGTCTTTGTTCCGTAACTCCCGCATCCGTATTTGCTCCCTCCAGAGCAGCGATTCCAGTGCTCCCATTGCTCCAAGAGGTTTGCAACCGAGCGGCTGTTGCGTGATCATATGAGGAACCATGGTGAGTGAGGCAGGGTCGGCTTTCCCGGCCCCCTTTCCCTGGCTTCCCCTTCCCAGTGGTGAACTCTTCTCTCGTTCCTTCTGCGCAGTCAACCACTACAAGTGCCCCCTGTGTGACATGACCTGCCCTCTGCCCTCCTCTCTGCGCAACCACATCCGCTTTCGACACAGTGAGGAGCGGCCCTTCAAGTGCAATTACTGTGACCACAGGTAAGTGGAGGATGCCCGGGGCACCCAGAAATTCCAGGGCAGGCGGGCCTTCAAGCTTTAGAGGAGCAAAGGGCATTTTTCCAGGTGAAATTCTAATGCTTATTCTTCATGTTGAAAAAATCGGTTGGTCTTTTTCTAAGACTCAGGCAACAGAAAATAGGGTCCAGGGTTAAATGAAATGGAAACATAGACAGCTGCTTGAAACATACCACTTCAGGCCAAACCCTGGACTCCCGGAGCTCCATAAAATCCTTAACCTACCCACCTAGCTAACATGGATTAGATCGGCAGAACATAATGGGGAAAGTGTCCGTATTTAATTCACGTTCTAGCTCAAAGGCTGATCACTTGAAGCAGCCTTCCCTGTCCTTGTTGCCGTCCAAAGCATCCGAAGGGCTCATCACCCCTGACCGTTGGCTGAGGTTAGTGGGAATAGCAGGCGATCCAAGTTACCTGGAAACCACCTTCCTGGGAAAAGCTGTTCTCTGAGGGAAATGCATTTATCTATACTCACAACATTTGTGTGTGGCGCTGTTGTGGTTGTTACATTGTATTTATATCTTTTTCCTCTTGTGAGGAATGGGATATAAAATATTATAAATACATAGAAACAGAGTGAGTCAGAAGGGGTCTCCCGGGCCATCTAGTCTGACCCTGGGCTCCAGCCGGCTCTGCTCACGACATGCCTACCATGTGCATGTCCAGCCTATCCTGGAACACCCTCACCAATGGGGCCTCAACCACCTCCTGTGGAAACCCATTCCATACCCTCGGGATCCTAACTGTCAGGAAGTGTTTCCTGGCATCTAAATGGAACCTTGGTTCCCATAATAAACAAGATAAAAATATCTAGTCTTTGCACTGCACTGTTAAATCCTTCCTTTCCTTTCTTCTTCCAGCTGCAAGAATCTCATTGATCTACGAAAGCACTTGGATACACACAGCAAAGAGCCGGCCTACCGCTGTGAGTTTGAGGCCTGTAACTTCAGTGCTCGATCCCTCTGCTCCATCAAACTGCACTACAAGAAGGTTCATGAGGTGCGAAGGGGGTGGGAAGGAGTTGCAGAGCCTAGAGCTGTTTTTCCTTTGATTTCCAAAACCATGTGGATGCCTGAAGGGCTGCTAGAATCCTTGGAGAATTCCTAGAGGATGTGGGCATGGCAAGAAAATGCTGTGAGCTATGGATGGAAGGAAATTTGTTTAGTTTTGCAGCAAAAAGGTATAGCACAGAGCCGACTCATCATTTGCACCTGGTAATTTTGTCCTTGGAAAATCCCCTAAGTCACAGGAAGAAGCTGTGGCAACCTTGCCCCTTCATGACTGGGTATCCAACACTGACCTTCCTTTGACTTGAAGGGTTTCACTAAAATTGTTTACATAATTTCAAGCCTGTCTTTGTATCCATTTTGCCTAAGTATTTGTCCTAGAAACCAAAATTATGACAGCTGATGCTCAGGATGCTGGATTTCAAGTGCAGGGCTTATTTCTTTTGATCAATGATATGCTGACAGAATACAGTAATCCTCCAATTTGCTGCTTTTTGAAAGCTCCCCGAATCTGAAATATAGAGAGCCTTTTTCCTGGTTTACACACAAGCCACTGTAGAGCTTCTTGTCATGGTGGCTACAGCCCTCTGAATATTTGGTGCATATTGCACATGAGCCTGGCAAGTGTGGGTCGTGGGGGCGCTTGGTAGGCCACCTGCAACCTAGAATGCAAGCCACCCTTCTCAGCAGTTCTCTCTGCCCTCACAAGTGATTAGTAGGCGCTTAGCGCAGTGGCCTGGCGCCCCGACAGCCTGCCTGGGCCAGCAGGCCCCGGTGGATCGCATTTGCCTTGTGAACTAGGCCTGTTGCTAACGAACTTTGCATAACGTTGGTTTTCCTCATTGCGTCCCCGCAGGGCGACTCGGAGCCCCGCTACAAATGCCACGTCTGCGACAAATGCTTCACCCGTGGAAATAACCTGACGGTGCACCTCAGGAAAAAGCACCAGTTTAAGTGGCCTTCGGGCCACCCTCGCTTCAGGTATGCAGACTTAGGGCTGGGTCCAGACACTGCCGCCTCCCTGTTTCATGGCTCAGATCTGCAGACCATGGCATCAAACAGCCTTTTGGGGAGTGGGCTCCAGCAAGCTGGTGGGTGCCGCTTTGTAGTCAAAGCACTTTGCAGGTGCGGTAGGGCTGGCATTTGCCAGGCTGTTGAAACCTTAAATCAACTTTCAGGTTAGGGTTGTTAAAATGCAAATGAGGGTAGGTGGTGACACACTGTTCTTTCGCCTTGAATTCCCCCGCTGCAAATTGGCTGGGACCACTGCATGTCTGAACGTTCAGTCCAAATCTTGAGCGCCTTTTTTCTGGACTGGAGCAGAACAAGCAAGGAGACTGAGGCTTGCCGCCTGTCTCTTCGCCACATCCCCGAGGGTTCCTTTGGTGCAAAGCAAGTCAGAGGCAGTCACAAAGAAAAGCAGCTGTGGCAGCTGTACCCCGGGGCCTTGTGGCAGGTGGGCCAGTGCTGATGGTGTCTCAGCCATCTACTTTGTCCCCACTTGGGTGAAAGAAAGCAAAGCTTCCGCTCTGACCCCAAAGCCTAGGGACAAAAGTAGAACCTCTGCTGTTCCTTAGGACAGCTGGATGGTGGGATGGGTATTTGGGCAGCCCAGCGATTCCTTGGTACTCCATTTTGCAGAGGGATCCAGAAAGGAAGCCCAAATCAAGCACTTTCTGTAAAACCCCCAGTTCGGAGCACACTGCACTTGGCACGGCAGTCGACCTTGCTTTGGCATGGCAAAATGTTTGTTCTTCTGTGGGCAGAAGTTTGACCCATTTCCTGCTACACTGATATCTAGACAGGATGATGAATAATTGTCCGTTGGAGCCAAATACAGCCTCCAAGGCATTTTATCAGTTTGTGGTACAATTTCCATATAAAGAATCATGTTAATTTGCCTAAGAGGTGGCATGCCGGCTTCCCAGCATGTTCTGTGGTCCCATGTGAGCTGGTCATCCCTCTCTCTGCCTTCTCTGCTTCGCCTGGTGTTTTGACATTCCCGTGGCCTTCCCTTTATAGCATGCAAACCACTGGCGTCCATTCTCCATAGCAGCATGCTATGATGGTTGGGAGCCCTGCTTATTCTTCCCTCTGCGACCCCATGTAGGTACAAGGAACACGAGGATGGCTACATGCGGCTACAGCTGGTACGCTACGAAAGTGTGGAGCTCACGGAGCAACTCCTCAAGGACCGGGAGAAGCAGGGGGAGGTGCTGGGTGACGCGGCCCAGTGCGTGGTGCTGGCGGGGGCCGAGGGCGGCCTGCAGGGCATCGTCCTCGAGCCCCCGGCGGAGGAAACTGCCGACGTGGACTTGCAGGTGGCTGTGCCTGCCCCGGGCCCCGCTCAGCAAGACGCCGACGCACCCCCCGACCGGGAGCCGAGTGCGCCCTCCAGCCCCATCCTCCGCGTGGTGAGCAGGACCAACGAGCGCGGGGAGAGTGAGACCGTGTACTACGTGATGGCCAGCGCACCTTTGGAGAGCCGAGTGGTTGTGCCCGGCGGGCTGACCACCGAGGCAGAGGAGAATGTCATGGACAGGCTCCAGAAGACGGCGGAGGAACTGGGCATTCAGATTGTATGAGGCAGCAGCCTGGGTGTGGAACATCGGGCCCCGGCTTCCGCTGCTGGCGGGGGCTGCGGAAGGCCTGCTTCAGGTTCCCCAGCCTCCTTAATGCGCACTGCGGGAGCTGAGGGCGGTCAGCTGTGCTCCCCGCAGCAGTGTGCAGGGGACCTGTTCATCCTGGGCTCCGTGCACACAGGTGCTCCTTTGCCCTGGGAGCTGTGGCACCTGCTGGTGCTTGGGGGGTCTGGCAAAGGAAGAGGGAAGCCCCAGAGCTCGGGACAAGGGCTGCTTCGCCAGAGAGCTCTTTGGGAAACGGCAGCCGGCTGTGCTTTGGAGCCCTTCCAATCAATGCAAAATATTGGGGGCAGGGTGAAGAGCTGGGCATTCCAGGAGGCTTATTCCCCTGCTTGCCTGTCTTGGATCATCCCGGTGTCCTGCCAGAAATGTTCCTGTTTCTTTCGTCTCCATCCCGGCCAGTCCTCTTCCTCGCCATGAGCCCCACACTCAGACTTGGTTGTTCCTCTGCTGCATGTCTAACCACTGATCCCCCCTTTTAAGCCTCGTTTGTCTCAAGCCTGCCTGTTGGTTCCAGCACTGATCTTTCGGTGGCTCGCCTGTTCTATGAGCGAGGAGCCAGAACATTGAGAGCCTGTTTTCAGTTGCTACTCCAGGGTTAGTCACTTCCTGCCTTCATTTTTTTTTTAAATTTCACTGAGCTGCTTTCTCTTTGTGGCTTGGGAGCCGCAAGGGCAATGTGTGGAACCACGGGCTTCATGTGCGCTACCTGCTCCGTGTCTCCTCCCGCATGGCCCAAGCACTGCAGGGCGGTTTGTGCTCGGGTGGCTCCCGCACCATAAAAAGACCAAGCAGAAAGCGGGGCTGCTTCTGGCCAAGGGTCCTTCCCGCATGCTGGGGGTTCCAGCTCTGGCTTGCAGGGTTTATGTTGTGACCGGAATAAGAATTAAAAGCAAAACTTAACCACAACCAGGTCTTGTGTCAGGTCTGATGTGTGTGTGTGTTTTTTTATCACCTATCTTGGAGGTGTGAATGAGTGGATCAGACCTATTTGAAGAAGCTAGATTTTATTTGAGTCCAGGGGCTACCAAAGTGATGATGAGTGAAGGGGAGCTGCATTATGTTTAAAAAAATCCTTTGGGACCACGGTGGGATGAGTTTTGTTCACGTGTTCAGCGTCTGATTACCAGATTGGAGTTGGGAAGGCGCTTCTGTTCCACCTTGGATGTGGCTACTCTGGAAGTGGTTGGGGAGGTGGTAAGCTTGGCTCACTTGCTTTGTTATTTGGAGGTATAGCCACGCAGTAACCTTGTTGAAGTGGGTAGAAGCACCGAGAGGTGCTGGCTTGCTCAAAGAAATGCAGTCTGAGGCCTTCAGATCCAAAACCCTGTCCCACTGCACCGTTCTGCCTTCTGTGGATATTCTGGGAAGCAACAGGGCCCCCGCTGTTTGGAAACCTCTCACTCTGCTGTGGCTACTGTGCATGTTTCCAGTCCTGATGTTCTCGCAAGGTTTGTGGAAGTGGGAGAGAAAGTGTGTCAGTAATCGCTGCTTGCTTTGAGATTATCTGTGTCATGACAGGAGGGGTGGGGGGGAGGTCAGCAGAAGGATTAATAGAAGCTTCCCAACCTCACCCTTGTATTTTCTTCCCTGACCTGCATCTTGGCACGGAGAAGCAAATATTTTCTCCATGTCAGGAAAGCACCTGGGCTGCTTCAAGGCACTTGGGCAACCCATTCAACTTGGCCAAGCTGCCCGAGGAAGGCGAGGGAGCATCTTCCTCGGACTTCATGTTCTTTGAAGGGAAAGGGGTGAAGCTCCCCGAGAAGGTTGGGGGCCCAGCTCTGCGATGTGTCCAGTGGCACTGAGAACTGTCTTCTTCGTCCTCGCTGTGCGGGGGTTCCTCTCAGGTGAGGAATCGGAAGGTAAGCCAACTTACGGAGCACACGGTTAGAAGGGAGGGACCAAGTGTCGTCCTCCCAAGGATGGGGAGCAGTATCTCAGGCCTGTTTTCTGCACAAGCCAAAGTGCAAACGCCATTTCCTGGTCAGGGTGCAATGGTTAAATGCACCTATTTTAGCATTCATCTTGGCTAGAAGCACTTGAGCTGACCTTGAACTCGGCCTCGGTCGCATGTCTGCAATACGAGGATAAAAATGCTGGTCTACTTTTTTAATGTCATAGTTCAAGAAAAAGATTAAGTACATGTGTGTGTATACAGACAGCTCTGTATTACAGTGAACTTGAAAATAATTAAGCAAAATACCTACTTTTATGGGGCCTTTGGAAGAATTGCTGAAATAATATTTCTGAAATGCTTTGAGCATTTTCATATGGAAAGCAGTCACCGTACACCCAAGATGTTATTTCTGCATCTAAAATAACATGTTTTAGTTAGCATGTTTTAAAAATCCACCAAATTTTGAATTTGCAACCCGAAACTGGATTTTCCAAATGCTACATGTGGAATTAAATTTTGAGAACTTAAAAGTTTCGGTCAAATGTTCAGCAGCAGATTATTTGTTCATTTATTATGTTTTTGATCTACCAGTAATGGATGTTCTCTTGGCACGTTGCAAACAGCTGAAAGAATAAAATGTGATAGAACTAAAAGAATAGCACACTGAGCAACATCGTTGGGAATCCCCAGATAATGCCATGCAGTCCCAGTCTCCAGTCTTAATTCTGACATCAGTCATGATTTGGAAAATGTGGTAGATAAAGTAAAATGAGACTATTCAAAAATACAATTAAAGTTTTTGTAATCCTATTTGAAATAGACCAAAGTTACTGGACACATTTCCCCCTTACCAGCTTTGTTTTAGATGTATACATCTTAACCAATTTGTTTCAGTTACAGATCATTTCAGCCACTGTAGCTGTTTTTCTGTTATTAAAATCAAATTGCACTTAAGAATTCACTTTCATGTTTGACTGGACATAAAGTAACTACTTACAGAGTAGCTACTGAACTGAAAGAGTGCACAATCTTAAATATAAGGATACTCAAGCATCTTTCCCCTTTTCTTACCTGCTCTGTGCAATGGAAATTCAAACATCCAGATATTTTGCCGATCTTCCACAACAAATGCAAGATTCTTTTCGCTTGGGCTTTAGTTAACGGCACATGATAAATTGTTTCTTCCATGCTTAAATCTTGGCTGTGCATTAAACATTTTAATCCAAACCTCTCTTTTCTCTTCAGTTTGTTTTCCGTGACTTAGCTTCTTAATACATGTACCTGCCCTTTTTTCTTCGGTATGGGATGCTGTATATTGTGCCACTGTGTGTGTAAAAGCTTCAGGTATTAATGATTTAGACTTCCCAAGGTACTAGATCAAAATGATTGCAACATCCACTTACATCAGGCCTGGAATGGGGGGCTGGAGCAGCGTTTTGGCCCCACTTTGGGGTGGGGGCTTGTGTGCAAAGAGCTTTCCCGTGCCACCCACAAGAGCACACCTTGCCTGGCATCCAAACAATGAACATCTCAGATCATTCTCTTGCATGCAGTCCTACATTATATGCAAACTAAAAATAATCCACAGGCTTGCAGCATTTTGGTCTTTGTGGGGGTCTCTCTTGCAGGTCACCAATGTCCTAGTCACCTCTTCTTAAATCCACTGGACCACTCTTGCTGTAGTCTGTTTTTATTCATTTGTAGCAACTTTCAATATTTTTAAATTTTATTGGTTTAATTATTGCTGCCTTTTTTGCTTTATGGTCAAACTTTTTATTTTAAATGTTTACAAAAATGCCTCTGTTGACATAGCCCCTTTACAGATTCTAACATGGAAATATGGAATATTAAAATGCCCTGATGACTTTTCCCCCAACTCTTTAGCAAGAGGCACAGTGCTGGATTTCTTTATTTCCAATGTGTTACTGCATTTGGCAACCTTCTGCAGCTGTCCTATTTACCTGTACCAAGCTGGATTTTTTAAGGCAAAAAATATTAATTTTTATTACTCTGTGAATTCTGCTTCTTCTGGTAGATTTGGACACCTACTGGTCTGGAACAGCCCCAATCTGCTTAGGAGGGTGCAGAGGAAAGCACAAAGAATTGAAGAGGAGCCAGTGTGGAAATGGAAGCTGCTGTTGGTTGGGATACAAATCATTTTGTAGAGGTATGAGCCAGGGTGATGGATTGTGAGTTGCTCTTGAACTTGGGAAACCGCAGTGAAATTCCACCTGCACTAAAAGTTTACTGGGCAAGTCACCACCGGAATCTTTACCCTACTCAGATCAATAAAATCTGGATCGTGCTTGCAGCCTTTGTTAATTAGGGTAGAACAAAATAGAGATTGTGAGTCACTTTGCTAATGGTACGGGAGTGATGGGAACTGGAGAGAAATAGGAAGAGATGGAGGATTACACAAGGATAGATCTTAGAAGGATTCCTCAAACTGATGGAAGCAGGGATGATTCAGAAGGCAGTTTATTATTTAATCTATATCCCACCTGTTTTCCTTCCATGGAACTCAAGGCAGTTTACAGAATTCTCTTCCCCCTTTCAATCTTATCCTCACAACAACAACTCCTCTGTGTGGTAGGTTGGGCTGAGAGTCTGAGACTCACCTGAAGTCACAGGTAGTGAGCTGAGTGGGGACTGGACCCAGGTTGCCTGAGTCCCAGTCTTGTACTCTTAACCACTACGCTACACTGGCTCTCAGCTAGCCATAAGATTTGCCTGGGCCCTACCAGTTCACTGACGGTGCACTTGTGCATGTGGAAGGTACATGGTGGAATAGGCTGTTGCCTCCCCGATCAGGGCTGGAAGCCGGATCAGCACCACTGGGCACCTGCCGGAAGCCCAGCTTGGCTCACTTACATGAGCCCCCTGGAATCCTTCCTCCACACCCCTGCAGCCAACTTGTTGCTCCAGCCAGGTGGTGAGGAGGAGCCAATGCCATGGCCCCTCCCTCACTGGTTCTTTTCCTGGCGCAAGCACGGGGTTGCTGTGTTGAGCAAGAACTGCTGGTCAGCAGGGCAGCAAGAAGGTGGCTTCCTGTCTGAGCCTTGCCAAAAATGCTGTCCAAACCCTGGAGCCAGCGCCACCCTGATCGTGTGGTTCCCAGGACTTCTGGCTAGAGGCAGTTGGGAACAGAAGCGAAGGCCCGCCAATTCCTTGCTGGGATCAGAACCACCAACCGGGCATGGGGCAAAGCCCAGTGTTGCAAAACAAAGGCGTTTTGGGGGCACGGCCTGAAACAGGGACAAACTGGCCAACTGGATTCTGCCAGTCTGGGCATTTTCAGTGAGAGCGTCCGTCCTGAAATGCCAGCCCATCTCAGCACTTGGCACAGTGCAAAAACAGCTCTCCTTGTTTCTTTTCGCAGTCAACTGTGGGCGACCAGAAGCAGAGTTCAATTCCATGGTCTACGGCAATGACTGGTGGGTGGGCTCAGTGGTCCGCTACAGGTGCCGCCCTGGCTTCCTGCTGGTGGGGGACCCGGCTAGTGCTTGCCTGTCCAGTGGGCGCTGGACCCCCAAACCCACCTGCCTCCGTAAGTAATGACCTGCAGAGGGCTCAGGAGCAGTGAGTGCGTCATCTTAGAAGCAGCTGGGCGTATTAGAAAAATGTTCTTCTCATGTCTGCTCCTGCTTTATATTCTCAACCACCCTGCAAAGTAGATCGTAGTGATTAACCTGGCACGTGCCTTTCGGGGCTGGGGCAAGTTTGTCCTGAGCAGGTAGAAGTCTGTATTTCCTGAAATTCACCTCGCCACAAGGCATCAACGCCTAGTCCTGCCACTGACACAGAGGGGATGTGGCTAGCCATGAATTGCTGGCTCGGAAGGAAGGGCCCCGTGTAGCACACTCCAAATAAAAGGCTGGGTTGTGTGTCTTGTCCTTTGGAGCCCCTTTTGCTTTTCCCAGACTCCCTTTGACTCTTTCTGACTTTTCCTTCCACAAAGGGATCTGCCTTCGGGGCCGGATTGAAATCAACGAACGGGACATCGATGGAAGCTGCTCCTCCACCTGTCCCCACAAGGCACACCTGGGACCCTCTGTCAACCATGGCTGCATCAAGATCTCCTCCTGCACCACCAAGCAATCTGGCTGGACCCGCTGGTTCTTCCGTTGTGACTTTTGTGAGTGCGAGTGCTACATCCCCTGCGGTGAGTGTCTTCTGTACCTGGAGGGGAAAAGGTTTCTCTGATCTGCAGGTGTTGCACGGATTAGAGAAGGTTGCATGTTACTCATGTGTAACATCTTTCCCTTCTACTCAAGCAGAAAGTGACACCCCTGACTTCTGGAAGCCCTCCTCTGCTCCCGTGTCCCTGCCTCTGGATTTCAAAAAGATCTGCACCCAGGCATTGAAGCCTACTGGTATCCTAGTCAACAGGGGCTAGAAACCTGCTTGGTTCCCCCTTCCCTCAGCTGGTGGAGGGTTGGCCTGGGACTCAGGAGGTGCAGGTTGTATCCCCAGTTGACCATGAAGCCAATCACTGACTCAACCTCCCGGGACTGCTGTGAAGATAAAATGGAGAGGAGGGTTATATAAGCCACATGGGGTTCCTTGCAGGAAGAAAGGAGGGATAAAACTATAGTGAATTAATAAAATTTAAAACTGTCAAGTTAAGCCCCTCAAGTTAAGAATGGCCAGTGATTGGGGTACTGGAGGTTGCAGTCTAAAACATCTAGAGAACAACAGGTTCTAGATCACAGGGTTACGACGTAAGAACTGGCATTGCAGAGGGAATAGATGCCTCTTCGGTATAAGCCAAAGTTTAGGCTGGAACTTAACAGAAAAACAGGATTGTCAGCCGATCTACAGGAGGGGGAAAGCTTTCACTGCCTTGGTCCACCAGCGGATGGCTTGATAGGTTCATCTGGATCATATGTTACCTTCCCAAGGGACTAGTGAGGTCTGTTAAGCTGAAATAAGGTGACCTTACAAAGGCTTCTCGCTATGGGGCCTGTAAGCTGTAGGGGATCTAAAATAAGGACATAAAAAGCCAGGGATTCAAGGGGTCAGGGTGAAGGATAAATGGTCCTTGAGTGGAAGGGACCCAGAGAAGTGCAGTCTCCGAGTGCCGGTTTGGGGGCATTCCATAAAAAAATCTGTGCCTGAGTCCAGGGTCTCTCTTGCTGTCTGGGCAAAACCAGCCCATTGTCGACATCGAATGTGACCCACGTGGTTTTGAGCCTGGGCACGGTAAGCAGCTGGGCCCAGATTCAGGAGAGACGGCAGAGCACAGCCTTGGAGGCACGCAGAGCTGGCGGGCCACACTCTTGGTATTCCTGCTTAAGTTAGAGTAATTCCAAAGGTGCCCCGGACTTACTGGTTGGCGTGCGCAAGCGTTGTGCAAGGGGGTGTCCTCTTTCTGGCCTCCATGCCCTTCGAGTCAAAGTGCTCCACACCCTGAATGCAGATGCTAAACCCAACATGTGCTCTTTTGCAGCTGAAAGCTAACACCAGAAGGACGGCCCACCCGTGTTGCCTCCTCTACCTGCTGTGTAAGTGTTAAGCTTGCTCGTGCCCCGGGGCTGGAACTTTAAGCCTGCTTTACGTGATTAAGGCCACAGTCGTGGGGCTTTTGTCTGTCTAAACCTGCACAGGATTCACTCTTCTCTGGTGTAATCAGTTTAAACCCCTTTTCATCTACTACAAAGACATCACTGATTACTTAGGTGGCAAGTCTTTTTTTTTTTAATCCAGAATTATTTTTCATGAAGTGGAAAGCATTTTCCTAGGAAGAGCACTCCATATGAGAGGAGCTGCCTTCTCTAAAGCACTGCAGTGTGTACCTGCGCCGTCCAAAATGACTCAGTTCACCTACGTGCAAATTTGGTCCATTCAAATCCTTTCCATCCTGATGGCCTGGTGCCTTCCCAAGATTGGGGGCTACAGGTACCCCAAAGCGGCTAATGGCACTTTCCAAGGTGGCAAAGGGCACTGGGAGCTGTGGTCCTGAAAGACACCATTGGCTTACCCTTGAGATGTCTTCAACATGCTGATGGCCCCACTGCTGTCTTTTCAGTTTCAGCCAGTCTTAAGCACGTGCCTGACTTCCTCTGGATTCTCACCTGCCTCTTCTTTCTAACCCATCTCGGGAACAGATCTCAGATGCTGGCAACTAGCTAGTTTCAAACGGTGCATGAATAAAACCTGCGTTGCAACGATCGTGCATCTCGGCTCTTGCTGTACACCGGTCACGCCTTCAGACCTCGTGGATGGGGGTTCCTAGATTATGGGCATTCCTTGCCATAGAGATCTGTAGCTTCACCCAGAACACCTGCCTTCTCTTTGCATGAAGACCCAGTAAGATGCTTTGCTGGCATTGAGCGTCCTGAATGAGGGGTGCAAAGGAGGTGGTTCCAGCGCAGGGAAAACCCAGGCTGAGAATGCAGCCATCACCTTCACCTTCTTCCCTCATTGCCTGCTGCCCGTTTGCCCGCCCCTTCCAACTGTCTGCAGTCTGGCTGGTGAGAGAGATCTGGGAAGGAGAGCGGCTGAACCTTCCTTCCAAGGATGAAGCCAAACATGCTGGGTGTGCAGGCCAGTATTCTCTCTGCAGCAGCACACCAGGAACACCTCTCTCTCTCTCTCTCTCCCCTGTCCCACCTTTCCTCAAGCAGGCACAGGTGGAGAATATGTGGCCACGGAAGTGCTGGTGCCAAAACTCCCGTGGCTCTCCCCAGTGGCTTCCCTGCCCAGACACACTTCCTGCTGGTGCATCGGGGCAGCAGACAGGGCAAGGAAAGGTCCCAGAAGGTGGGTTGATCAAGAAAATGAGCAGTGAGCACTCAGGGTTTGCCGTTTCCTAGGCAATCTTCAGCAAAGCGGTCAGCCGCCTGTCGGTAAGGGGAAGGACGAACGGTCCTGGCCTATAATTCTGCACTGCCTCAGCTGCCCTGGGAAATCAGAGGCTTCAGCTGTGCTCCCACGCAGGACATTGGTGAGAAGAGAACTTTGTGCAGTGCAAGGAACAAAATGCAGTGCCCCAGTGTGTCCACACCACCCATTTCATCCTTGGGACATTCGCTTTGAGCTAGATTTGGACGAGCGCTGAAGTGGCTGCAGGCTATCAGATGGCCTTCACGGGGCACACGTGAGCAGATGGAGGGGCCTTCCTGCTTTTAAGATGGTTCTTGGACATTTCCACAGCTGCCAGCAATGCTTTGCAGCCCGAAGCAAAGGGCAGCCTGTGATTGCATCAGTCTGGCCCTAGAGAGGAATATTCCTGAAAGCTTTGCGGATGGGACTTGCTAGAAGGGCAGCTTTCCATGGTCTTCCGATGTGGGTTTCAAGGAGAGAAGGCAGAAAAATGTGCCACTAGGAAATGGGGAAATAACAGAGTAGGAGAAGTTGGAGCGATAATTCTGCAAAAGCTTTTTTACACTGAGTTGCCGGGTGTCACCTTCCAGCACAGATTCCGCAAGGGCACCAAGCCCCAGGCTGCAGAGTCGCTGCAAGGAGTGCCAGCAAAGCGGTCTGGTGCATGTCAGAACACATCCCAGATGTTGTGGCTTGACTAGAAATCACCTGCCATCAAGACCAGTAGGGGGAGGAAGCAGAGTGGCCAGGTGCCCTAGTTTGCAGAGGACAGTCCTCTTCCTTGGACTGTCAGAGAACACTCCCCTATTTGAAAGCATCCTCTCTTTCAGCCTTCCCCAACCTGAGGCCCCCCAGATGTTGGACTGCAATCACCATAATCTTCCAGCCAGTATCGCTAGCTGAGGTTCATGAGAATTGTAGTCCAAGGGAGGTCGTTGGAGAAACCCAGAACGGAATCAAGTGAGGTCTGATTGCTTTAGATTCTGCAGGAGCTGCACCAGTTTATTTTACATAATGGGAGGATTCTGAGAACCTGCAGTTGCACTGGTGTAAATTGGTGCAAATGGAGGGAGGGCTGAACATGCCCAGTTCTCTCAGTCTCTCCTTTGCACTGGGAAGTCTGGGGGCAGATAATTGTGACTTTCTAGGGGCAAGCCGAGCATTTCTCCGGCTCAGCAAAACTCCATTTTTGCCACAAGGGGGCGCATTCATGTCATGCACTGGAATGGAGAAAACCGGCACACACAAAATTCCCACATCCATGTAGTATCATTGGTTGGATGCCTCACAGTTTACCCACAAACGTTCAGGCGTCCCAGATCACTGCTCAGCCCATGTCTTGTGAACCTAATAATGCCGGTGCCCTTGGATGGAGGATGGAAATCACGTTGCGGCCGTGAATGAGGCTCATGGTGCCAAAAAAACACGTTCTCGACTGATTCAGACTGTCAGTCTCCGGCTGATTCCCTGCAGCTGCTTTCTCTCTCACCTTCAGTGCCCTCCTCCTGCATCCAGCGATTTCTCGCCCTTTGCTTCTGCACTGGCCCCAGGACTGATCCCGAAAGTGTGCCAGTCAAAAGGGCCAGTTGGAAGAAAGATCCATCTCTACTTCAGCCCTTGGAGAGCACCTTTACCCATCAGAGGTGGCAACAGTGGGTTACACCAGGGATGGGGAAACCTTTATGGGCCAGATTTGCTGCATGGGGGTGTGGTTCCCACCCCCGAGCTAGACGGCCTGGCTGTGCATGGGGTATGGCATTCACCAGTACATTTCCAGTTTGCTCAGCCATTGTTCCCATTGCATCCTCGTCTTCCCAGCCTCCTTTGCTGGGGCCCAGGGAAAGTCTGGCAGCAGATGGCTGGGCACAGCATCAATTAACACTGCTCATTTCCATATGCCATTTGTCTTCCAGGCAGGGTGGCCGTGGGTGAAGCATATGACCGACCGGGATGGCAAGAGCCAAGCAGAAGGCCTCCCTCGAGCTGGAGGGAGAACCAGGCCTCGGATTCAAAGCTGTCTCATGCCACCCATCAGCGGGACAGGATGGCTGCTGGAGAAAGCACACCTCGCAATGCTGATCCCAAGGCAGGGTACCCCTGTTCCGCCTCTTCCTTCTCAGCCGGTGCTGCTCCTGGTACAAAAGAAGGTGGAGAAAGTGGTGGAAAAATGGGAGGCCGGCCCATTTTGGGTGCCCTCCAGATGCATCGGACCATAATTCCCAGTTGGGCTGCCAAACTGGGCTGCACTCACACCTTAAAACTGAAATGGTTCTACATAAGCTGCTTGGCCCTGTTGGTCTTCCCCTCCTCGTGTGCTTTTCACATGCGGTGTTGCCCCTTGCTCTCTTTGAGCTCAGATAATGTGCACAGGGTGCCTCGCTGTTTCACGCGTATTCTCTGCATGAGCCTTTCAACCTGTCATTTGAGCAAGGCCTCTGCTTCCAAATCTTTGGCAAGATTAAGAAGAGTCCCTTTACACCTGTTCTCACTCTCCTTTCTTTCGCTCCCTTTCTGTTTGCTTCACTACAAAACCACAAGCTGGTGCTGCAGAACTTGTACTTCTTACTGTGGTGACTTCCACCATTTCCAGATAATCGTACTTTCCTTGCTTCCCTTCCCCTGCCAAAAAAAGGAATATGAAATCACAGGAGGGCTTCAGAGGAGGATAATCTCGTGTAAAGAAGCCCCAGAGACAAGAAATGCTTTAGGCTACGGTGTCGTGCTATTTTGTATATTTTTGGCCATCCTGGGAATGAAGCCCGTTTAGTGCTCCACCTGAAAGAGTTTGCAAAGACAGGGTGGGCAACCTTTTCTGCAGAACATCAGTCCCTTGGGGGAATGGTCTTTCAGGGGACACGAGCCAGAGTTGGGTGAGGCTGTGCCTGCCCTCCCCCCCCCACCCATTGCTCCCCCTCTCTCACACACGCCCCTTTCAGGGACCCCCTCCTTTCACGCGCTTCCCCCATGGACAGAGGGCTGCCTACAGACAGTCTGTGTGTCTCAGCCTGAAATCAAATCTTAGGCCCTTCTTTCCCCAAAATTGATTTTTCTGCAATCTAGGGGTGGGAGAAGCAGAAGCAGCAAAGAGAAATAGAGGATGACACTAACAATTTGATGATGGCGTGAAGGAGATGCTCCATGAAAGTGAGCTAAGAAGAAATAGCTGTTTGAGTTGGTGAAAAGGGCACGGCGGCTGGGTTCTTCCTCCTCGAGCAGTTGTGGAAAAGGAAACTGAGGAGGTGGTACGGGAGGGATAAGAAGAGGGGGCACTGCCCCCCCCCACCAGGACATGTGCACGTTAAAGTCCATGAAGGAGGCCTAGCGATTGCACAACTAAGACCTTGCCCGGAAGCATCCAAGCAGGACCTGCCTTGAAAGGGAAACATGCGAGCCAGTGCCAGCGGAGGTGCAGCTGAGAGTGTCATGCCTACAGGGTTCTCCTCCAGGATCAGACCTTCTGGGGTGCACCTGCCACCCCACAGGTGTGAAGTCTCTGATCCTGTGAGCCCCTGCATCAGAGCTGGGACTCTTCAAACAGGCACCCCAGGAGGCAGGTGGAAATTCAACAGGGAGCTCTCCTCTTTCCCCCTGCAGCAAGGGTGGAGGCTTGCTGAAGTGGGTCAAGGAACAAACTGGGGCACTTCCCCTTTCCCTGAAAGTTCACACACGCTTTTCTTCCCGTGCAGGTGGTTATGGTCGTACATACTGGGGCTGCTTTGCTTCCCACCTCCTGCTGTAGCTGAAGGCTGCCGGGGCGGCGGGGAGAAGCACGGCTTCCCTGGCTGAGTCCCTTTTGACCCAAAGTGAGAGCTGTCTTGGGCAATGAATCTGACCCTCCCCAGGACTAGAAACTTGCTGCCTTCCGCCTGCCCCAGAGAGAAACAGATAGAAGTAGTGCTTCCCAGGGGAGCATCCGTCTCACCTGCGGCTTTTACCTGCTGCTGGTGGTGTGCATTGTTTTCTTCCTTCCCTCCCTCTTTTAAGAACAGACTTCGCCGGCCCCTTTAAGGGAAGCGGTTGTGCTGCCTGAGAAAGCAGAAACCTGCCTGCAGGCCCAGCCCACCCCTCCCCTCCCCTCCCCTCCCTCTCTCTCTCCCACCCCTTTGCTGATGCTTGTGACATTCAGCAGAGAGGAGATGAACCTCACGGCAGGCGGAGGAGGGAGCCCTCCCCGGCCCGGGCAGGGGGGCTGCTAGCGCGCGGCCGGGCTGAAGGGGTGGGGAGGGGGCTTCCTCCGGCCCCCACAGCCTCCCGAGCCACCGCCCAGGCGCTCCAGGGATGGAGGAGCGCGACGGACCCGCCGCAGCGGGGCTGGATGCGGCTTGCAGGCGCTGAGCA